GGAGCATAGGCCGCTCACCAGCATTCTCCATCCAACCCTGTCACAAGCAATCCTTTCCACATCTTTCCAATTCTTATTCATTCTTTTCATATCCGCTTCTATTTCCCGACGTAATGTGTTCTCTGGCCTTCCACCTTTACGCTTCCTTTCAGCATTCCAAGTTACCACTTATCTCGTAGTGCAGTTTGATGATTTGCGTAATGTATGTCGTATCCATTTCCATCGTCTTTTCCTAATTTCCTCTTCAGCTGGAAGCTGGTTGGTTCTCTCCCACCGAAGGCTGTTGCTGATGGCATCCGGCCAATGGATGTTGAGTATCTTGCGTAGACAGCTATTGATAAATACTCGCACATTCTTGATGATGGTGGTCGTTGTAGTTCTCCAAGTTTCATCTCCGTACAGTAGGACTGACTGTCTTGACGTTCGTATTGAAGATTGTGACTGTGATATTGGTTGACAGACAGTTGTTTTGTGTTCAATATGTTCTTTAATTGAAGGAATGCGGCCCTTGCTTTGCCGATCCTCACATTCACGTCTGCATCTGAACCTCCTTGTTCATCGATGATGCTTACCATGTATGTGAAGGATTCCACATCTTCCAGAGTTTCGCCATCAACAGTGACTGGATTGCTGTTCTCCGTGTTGTATTTGAGGACCTTGGTTTTCCCTTTGTGTATGTTGAGGCCTACTGATGCAGAGACTGCTGCTACGCTGGCTGTCTTTATCTGCATTTGTTCGTGTGTATGCAATAGGACGTCTAGGTCATCTGCAAAGTCCGCCTGTAGCTCTTCCAGAGTTACTGCCGGTCCCAAGCCAAGGTAAAAGAGGAGGGTTGGGCATGGGGTTAACGACCTCATCCAGTAGAAAACTAACTCGCTAAAATAAACGTTAACCAGAAAAAATAATTAGAAAAAGGAAGAACATAATAATTATGTTCTACTCTACTTCAAGACAATTTTCTATAATTATAGGAATGCTATTTCTTTCTATTTAAGCTTGTACCAAAAATTTATGGATCCAATAGTTCTTTGATAATCTGCATATTTTATTTATGATTTCATTCACAATTTATGTGGATGACTGATTATGAAAACATTTACAGTAAGTAATTCACTCTTCAATAGTTTAGAAATAAGTGATTTATTTATTTATTATTTATTTTAACACATAGATATTGGTACAAGGAAGCACCAAATACATATGCGCCACACAAATCTCAAGTGATTTGTGTGAGGGCTGTGATACTGCCCGGGTGCACAAACCGAAGCAGGTGGTTCGCTTAGGGGGACAATCCCCGAGCATTTGACCTGAACGTCTGACCCACAAGGCAGTGGAGCATCGTAAGGAGATGCAGTTCCATGGTAGCCGGTGACCGACGATTGGTTCATACGCCATTTGTTCCCTCAGACAGGATACTGGATCCCATATGCACCATTGGTTCGGGATCCGGTTAAAGTACCGGACATTCGCTTTTCGTCCTCTCATTTTCGTAAACAACATTAATGCCACGAGAATGCAGTGAGTAGGACTTCCCTGGTAGAGGCTATATATGCGTGGCCATATGAGAGCATTTGGAGAGGGAGAGCGGACTCTCCCCACTCTCAACCGTACCATGGCATTTGGGGCCAGAAATAAGTGATCTAACATATAGTCAACAACTATTTATAAACTAAAATATTTTGTATACAGCATTATGATACAGAACGTTTACTAACATAGTTTAATTCATTGATCAGTTGTTAGGGTCTATCTTTATCCCGACTCAAAACAGTATTCGCATAATGAAAACCTTCTCAGTTTCTGTATTATGGAAGTGTTATGAATAATTCTAAGATAAAGTATTTTCCTACGTATATAGTGAACAGAACACAGGCGGGGGACAATCGATTATACTTTACTATATAATTACAGAGCATATCAATAAAATCTGACAACCATGTATAGTAAATCGTTAATTTGCAAAATATCAATCCATCATATCAAACAAACTGGACTGTTCCTGTTGTAAATGTCAATTTATTGTCTCAGATTTCATTGTTCATACGTTTTCATACCAATTGCATTGTGTACCCGCTCTTCCTTTCTTGATCTTCACCCATCTTCTACTGCCAGACATTACGTTCCTAACTCGCATCATATACTACTTATTATATCAATATAAGTAGCGCACACCACAGGTATATCGTGTAAAACAATATCCTATTCTTGGTGTTGACTATTCAACAGTATGAATTGGCGTTGAATGTAATAATTACGAATGAAAATGAATTCATGAAACAAATTTACAAAGCAAATCGATATATCAAAAAGGTTTATTTCAATTACATAAATCGTGGGATTCACAGTTTTAATCTCAGATTTTGTTTAATTTGTTCCTCCCTCAATTTGCAGTTATTCATTAGTGAATATCAAAGTCATACAAAACTAGAAAAATGAATACGCTTAATCTATTTTTAGACTGTATAGGGGTTATTGTTTTTGGAAATGTCATAATGTCGTTTACATTCACTTGAAACATTCAATTGTCTAGGTTTCGGTAACAATTCTTCTATGACCTTGTGGTGACCTACTTTTGTCAACAGAATGCGATTGGTTCAATGAAAACAATTATTATTATAACCAATTGTACCAGTGATTGTTTTACTGTGCTCGTTTGTTTAACTGTACTAGTGACAGCCATTACACTCACTCGACCGTTGACTTTGAACTTGTACGAATTCGGTTACGTTTAGGAACCACGCTTGTACTCCTTTGGCACGATCTCGGTATTCTTTCGATACCACGAGATCGACGGCAAACACATATCGACTACAGCCATCATCTGCCCTCTGATATTGGCCTATAGGGATCTTATTTGGTTAATTGGCACGTAGTCTTCTTGTAGTGGTGTTCATAGTCAATCGCGACTCGACTCCACGCTACAACCTAATAAATTTCATTCCGTTTGGTTAGTGGTTATTAGCCCTTATTCATTTAACTATCATGTTTTCAAAATACTTTATCATTATTTGCTATTCTTCAAGACCTAATATAAGGGTATTTCTAAGAATATATTAAGTTCTAAGGTTGACATTTTTTTGAGACAAATCACTGATGCCTTACTAAAAGTCCACCATTTTTTTATCATGGTTTTGTCATATTGTAGTGAACAAGAACACCAAGGAGGGGCGATTGAATGTATTTGAGCACATAATTATAGAGCATATCAATAAAATCTGAGAACCATATATTGTAAATCGTTAACTTGCAAAATATCAATCCATCATATCAAACAAACTTCACTGTTCCTGTTGCAAACATCAATCGATTGTCTCAGATTTCATTGTTCATGCATTTTCACACCTATTCCGTTTCGTTTCCGTTCTTTCCTTATCGACCTTCTACTGAAATACATTGTATACCTGACCACCGTCATATACTACTTGTGTGGATATAAGTAACCCACACTACAATATAATTCTGCAAACACATACTACTACTTCAATCGAATCCCCAAAAAATAAAATACGTGATCAGTAGACTTGATGTTTCTCAAAGTAATCTTAATGATTGTCTTTATAGGTGAAGAATATATATCTACACCTTACAAGATCTAACTGTAAACGAAGTTTTTAACCCTGAATTGTGGTATTTTTAGCTCATAAACCAATCAATATATAATTTAGTTCTTATGTTTGATAATATAACAAAAATGAGCGTTTATTGACATTTTAACATTTTCAGCTATTTCATTCAATAAAGCAAGTTAGTTCATATGAGATAGAGCCCCCAAATGCCGTGATACAGCCTAGAGCGGGAAGAGTCCGCTCTCCCTCTCGAAATACTCTCACATGGCCAGGCGTATATAGCCTCTACCAGGGAAGTCCTACTCACTGCATTCTCGTGCCATTACTGTTCTTTACGAAAATGAGAGGACGCAAAGCTTTAACCGGATCCCAAACCAATGGTGCACATGGGCTCCAGTATCCTTCCTGACGAAAAAAATGGTGTATGAAGCAATCGTTGGTCACCGGCTATCATAGGATTGCATCTCTTCACGATGCTTCACTGCATTGTGGATCAGATCTTCAGGTCGAAAGCTCGTGGTGTAGCCCCCTAAGTAAACCACCTGTTTCGGTTTGGGCACCGGGGCAGCATCACAATCCTCACACATATCAAATGAGATTTGTGTGGCGCATATCTATTTGGTGCCTACTTGTACCAATATCTATGTGTTCAAGTAAAAATAAATAAAACATATGAGATAGAAGAAAACTAGATTTAACAGAAATCAATTCTCTATATTAAGATTGATAAGCCATTGTTTCATTTCTTTCACCGATCTAGTTTTTAATAATGTGAGAAGTATTCAAACACAGAATAGTACCCTAATATGATTACCTTAAACAGGAAATATGTGAGTCCTGAATTCGATTAAATATGTGATTAAGAGTAGGCCATGCTGAAGAATAACACTAAATATCAATCATGTATATACGGATTTTCAATGATTTGACAAACGATAGAGGTTACCCTAACAAAGTACTATATAAAATACATATGTCCTTTAAAAAGGTTCCCTCTATTCAACAACTCAATATAACTGGATTATCAGTCCCATAGTATGGTTTAAGTGGTCAGAACATATTTATCTTAAATATTATTATACATATAATTAGTAGTATCATCAAATATCTTTTGATAGATAATCCATTAGTAAGTTAAGCGTTTGCTCGCGAGACTGAAGGCCCTGGGTTCTAATCCCGCGAGCGGGGTCGTGGATGTGCACTACTGAGGAGTCCTTCAATAGGACGAAACGACCATGCAGTGCTTCCAAGTTTTCAATGGTGGTCCAACATCAATTAGTTCATGATCTCAATCAAAAAATAAATAACTATACCGACAATAAAAACTATATCTAGGATGAAGCTCTTGTTGTGTACATTAGAGAATAGGCCTTACAAAACAAAAGATACGTTTTTTGTTATAAACATGAATGAAGAAAAAAGTAATAATTATCATTTCACATTTATCTTTAGTAATTCAATTATAACAAAAATTCAATTCAATATATATTTAGATTAATATAATGAATTAATTAACAAGGCTGTTGTTAGGTACGTTAAAGCTTGAATGCTACTACTGATTCATCATACTCGGAACGGAACGAAGTTTTGTTGGATTCGTTGTCCCCAAGACTCAGCTAATTCAATCAAGAAGTCTTGTTTAGATATAGAAAGTGTATTCCACAGATACCAGGTCCATTAGACACACAAATCAAGCATATTTATACAAATATATAATATATATATATATAATCCATATTGTCATGGAAGTTTTTAAACATTCATCAATAAGTTCGTCAATCGACTGCTATTCGAATAATTAAACATTGAATCAATAAGTTAATCAATAAGATAAAATTACAAAATGTGAGGTTTTTTTTGGGGGGGGGAGAGTTCTGTCGTCCCTAACAGTTGCATAATGAAGAGCATTTCATCATCATCATCATCATCATCCGAAGCATCATCATCGTCATCAAAATGATATGAAACTTTCAATTTTATTGCATATTTCACTTGTCAATAGATACAATTTATGTATCATGATAATGAATGCATAATGTTTCATTAATGAATAGCTCAATTCCAAATTATTTATAGATTACATAATGTATTATAATGGATATACTGACAATAGAGAAAGAGTAAACAACATTTATTATATACAAAATAATCAAATAGTATAAACTATGAATTGTACGATATCAAGTAGTAGATAATTCCATTAGCCTTGTGATATAAATTAGTTGATACATTCGATTTATGTATCTATCTCAGACATTTTTTTGTTCTATGTAGGAAGGGATCAATGAATATACTTTACAGTATACTCAGGTGTAGTAGTAGTAGTAGTAGTTGTACTAGTGATACTAGTATTACTTGTATTTGGTGTATTAGTAGTAGTAGTAGTAGTAGTTGTTGTTGTTGTTGTTATATCTATAGTGGTGGTAATCGTTAAGCTATTAGAATTATTATAATTATTTATGTTATGACATTCGATTTCTTTAACACTAGATAATGGAGTATATACATGAACTAATGATAAATTGACTGGTTGTTTATCATAAATATCATTTATTGCACTATTTAACCAAATCGATTGTGTTATAGGAATAAATGACATAGTTGTTGTTTCAAGACTATCACCATTTCCACTATCTTGACCAAGTGATGTAAGACTATTACGTTTTGACTAGAAAAGAGAAAAAAAGAAAAAAAAGGAAAAAAAATGTATCAACTTCACTTGAGTGTTATAATATTATAATAATTTTAAAAATATTTACCTGTAAACAGAATACACATTCATATTTCATCTATATCCCAATGAGAATAATGAATAGTGACTTCTGGGATCCATTTGTGGATCAATACTATGCGTATATTTTTATCGTATAATTTTCAAATGACTAAACTATTCATATTTGTGGTCCTCTTATCATAAGTTTGATTTTGATCGATGAACTGTTATTCTAAGATTTACCATTCTTGAATTATGCCCTGTCTATTAATTACTATCTCTCATGAAGGTTGATTACAAATACAATGGTCTTGAGTGTTGTTAGAGGTATAAAGGCGGATATCACTTCCCGGTTGTCCACACCATGAAAGGGTTCTTCTGTAGGTACCTGAAAAGGAAATTGGGTTAGAGGTGGTCCTAGTGACATGAGAGCGTGACCGCAGTGCCCAAGGGATAGCTGCTTGAGGTCGGTCACACACGACCTTTTTATGAGTAATTTTTGTGTTAGCTCCGTACTTGTTGAGACCTTACCGCCGGAGACGGATATCCGCGGGATAAGGCGAGGTGTGCATTTTCAGGGTCGACCTATTCTAAACCCACCCCTATTTGTGGGAAGGCAGCATCGCTGTCATATTGGTTGTCTTAAGAGAACACCTTACTGCAGTCACACCTCTGTACAATCAGCAGTAAGACTTCGCCTGTGGACCTTGGATTTGTTACTTTTAGTCTTACGGCTCTTCAACCGATCTGTCTGGCATGGTAGAACCTTCAGGAACGGTTGTTCCAGCCAGTATAGCTCGATTGGTTCATCACTATAGGCAAGCACGGCCACTACGTCAAGGTAGCAACAACGGTCAGGACGAGTATACTGCGCGGCAGTTCGTTCCGTTCTATTATACGGCTGCGAAACATGGCCTTTAAGAGTAGAAGATATTCGTAAGTTACTAGTATTTGACCACAGGTGCCTTAGAAATATTGCTTGCATCTGCTGGGATCACTGGGTAAGTAATAGTGAAGTTAAATGCACGGTATTAGGGAATGATGGTAAATCAGTTGATGAGGTTACGAATCTTCATCGACTGAGATGGTTGGGCCACGTGTTATGTATGCCTGAACACCGATTACCACGACGTGCAATGCTAACCGGTGTTAGGGATAATTGGAAGAAATTAAGGGACGGCCAAACCAAAACGTGGCATCAATGCTTGAAGTCACTAACTTCTGGTCTGAGCCATGTTGGTACATGAAAGCTACCTCGTTTGGATCCTCGTGACTATCGTAACCAATGGTTGGAGACTGTGTGTGACATGGCTCAGGATCGATCACAATGGCGTCGGTGTATACACACTCTGTCTTCCTTTAAACTAAGGGATTAAAATCACTTCAAATCTTTCTTTCTACGAACTAATTCTTTCTTCCTGTACTATATCTTTATATGCAATCTTGCTTTTATATATTACCACCACTGAATCAACTACTCCTATGAATCCTGTGTTCATCTTGTTGTGCTAATGCGGTATGGCAACCTGGACCGATGCATATATGTGCCTGGTCCTACGTTGCATCTGACTGACTGACTATCTCCCATATTCACAGCCACATTTGTCCAAATCTTGTACAAATGTCTCTTCCTATTTTATTGGTACGATGTAGTCTGTCTCGTTGGTATATACACCCAATATGTTTGAAATACATGATTCATATCACAGAGTCTGAGATTAGTGTTGTGGACTTAACAGGCTGAGCTAGGCGGTAAGCAGGACCGATAAGCATTGTAAACTAATCGTACTAGTTTCATGTGTTATTCGTCCGATTGATAATTCATTGTTCTCTAATTGGCGATATTATTATGTTATCCATTAAAAGGGCACTCAGATCACAAGTTATAACAATTTCAATCATTATTTTGGAGATAAAATTAAGATATCTGATTTTTATTGATGGTATCTTAAAAACATTTTGAACTACTCTGGTAATCAAGAAGCAACAGGTCATGTCTATGTATTACTGTATAGTAAACAGAGACTAGTAGAAAACAACTATTAAGGATTTAAACTAAATTAATTGGATACTATCATAGAAAGTGAGATAATGACAAAATCAATCAATCTAATCTATGTAGGTAATAGTTATTAAAACATGAACCCCCAACAACTGTCTACAATTTACAATTCAATTTCGTATATAGTTATATATGAATAAGAATAATAATAATAATAGAATAAGCAAATTTACAATATAGAATGGTTATGTCAAGAAATGAATAGACATTTTATAATGACAGTATGATATTCAATGTACAAAGAGGTTTTGATTATCATGAATATCTATGATACTATAGTAGAATATTTGCTTGTATTTTTAATTCGTTAAACATATAATATCTACTAAATAATTTACAATAACAATTACTTGTAGTCCCATAAGTCATAACCATAGTCATTTGTTATTACATTCAGTTTAACTGTGAGTACAATGCAAAGAAATATATGTTTTCAATTAACAACTGATTATGCCTTGTACTTTCAATGGAATAAAGTAAATATTAGAAGAGGTTTTGTGAAGATTGTAGTAATTTCAATGGTTAAGATCATGAGTCAATTGAAGCTAGATCACCACCATGGAAAATCTGGAAACACTGAACGGCTGTCGCATCCTATTGTGGAACTCCTCAGCAGTGCAAATCCACCACCTCGCCTCCTCCTCAGCGAGATTCGAACCCGAAACCTAGTGGTTTCGCGCGCGAGAGCACTTCACCACTAGATCATTGAGCCGGTTGGCATCCAACGATGTTAATGTCTAACTTCAACTAATCCCACGAAATTGACCGACACATCCACCATTGTCTTCATTGAGCTGATATCTCACAACAAACCTGATTGAACTCCACTGGTTACTGCTTCTCACTAGAACTCCAGGATATACCTATTGAAGCCAGTCACTAGTGAGCATATGTTGATTAATATGAGAAGGGGTTTTGTGGATATTATAGTAATTTCAATGGTTTTAAGATCATGAGTCAATTGAAGTTAGATCACCACCATGGAAAGAACCTGGAAGCACTGGACGGCCGCTTTATCCATGGTAGTGGTCTAGCATCAACTAACTCATAATCTTAACCATTGATAAAATAAATGATTAAATACGTAAATATTTTAGTTCCAACAAAAATAAAACAGTTAGAACCATTGAATGAGTGTCCAAGATAATAAAATGAGAGAAAAAAAAGAAAACTAGATAGAATGAACTTGAGAAAATCGAAACATAAATCATTTTGAAATGGTTAACCAACATAATAATAATAATAATAATAATAATAATAATAATAATAATAATAATAATAATAATAATAGTAATAAATACATAATAAAAAGAAAAAAAATGAGGAAACTAAAAGTACAATCCGATTTATTATTCTGTGTAATAATGCTTAGTTCCCGATTAGTCTTTAATGTGTAATCAATATTTGAATTCTTTTTATTTTTTTCCTCTATATCACTCAGTAACATGATTTTTAAAACTAAATCGTATTTCACTGAACGGTATGTTGAAAGGCTTATTAAAATCTATTTAAATATAATCACTGATACTATAGTGAACATAGGTGGGAACAATCGTATGTATTTAGGCACATCATTACAGAACATGTCAATTAAATCTGACAATCATATATAGTAAATCGTGAATTTGCAAAATATCAATCCATCATATCAAACAAACTGGACTGTTCCTGTTGTAAATGTCAATCTATTGTCTCAGATTTCATTGTTCATACGTTTTTATACAAACGGAATTGTGCTTCCGCTTTTTTTTTTCTTGATCTTCCCCCATCTTCTACTGCCAGACATTACGTTCCTAACTCGCGTCACATACTACTTATATCAATATAAGTAGCGTACACCACAATACCAGAATATTCTACTATATTTTAATGACTTAGTAACATACTAGATAGAAATATGTGAGAAACCACATACATGTTAACTGTTTCCTTATGGAAGTATTCACACACACAAACACACACACACAAAATATATTCTCATTATTTTAATACAAATAGTTACATTTTTTTATATATAAATAAAGTAAGAAATTGACATTGATTAAATGTCAATTTCTATGGAATCCATTGATTTGAATATATTTAAATATTGTTTAGATTGCAATTAGTTACTATGCACAATTTTAAATAGTTAGAAATTATAAAATGATGTAGTATTATAAGATTTTAAATCTATCTTTTGTTGAGGTTAATTTACAAAATTTTCTGTGTCATTGGATCGTTTTAATTATTGTATATGTTATTTTTCAAAATATTAATTGAAGTTAAGCATATATACTATTGGATCTTAGCTTAAGTATATAGAGGATAAGGATTCGCGCTCAAGACGAAGGACCGTGGGTTCGATTTCTAGCTACGGCTTCTTGAATATCTATAGCTGAGGAGTTTAATGCTAGAACAAAACGGCCGTCCAGTGTTTCCAGGTTTTTAAGAGTTTTTTATAAAACTTAGATCAGTTAATTATATTAATGAAAATATTTAAAGCTTCCTAATACAGAATTCCTATGATAGATTAAACTGTAAAATCGTTCATGGAGGACAGTTGACAAAGTCGTTCGAACTAATGACCGTTGTCAGGCAAGGTTGCTTACTCTCACCCTTTCTCTTTCTCCTGGTGATCGACTGGATCATGAACACGTCAACATCTGAAGGGAATCATGGCATACAGCGGACATCTAGAATGCAGTTGAATGATTTAAACTTCGCAGATGATCTGGGTTTTCTACCGCATACGCAACAACAAATGCAGAAGGCAGCAGCAGTAGGTATCAATATACACAAAGGGAAAAGCAAGATTCTTCGATACAACACAGCATGCAACAATCCAATCACAATTGACGGAGAAGCTTTGGAAGATGTAAAAACCTTTACATATTTGGGCAGTATCATCGAT